CCTCTGCCAGAATGCACATAAAGGCATCACCAAAGCTCCTGGAGAGAGGAGCGAGCTCTGTCTTCCCTCCTCTGAGTGCCTTCTCCTTTTCCTACCCTCCCTTCTTGAGAAGTCCCGCTGATCAGCTCTTCAAGGCAGTCTTTATTCTCTGCCCAATTTTGCAAAGGTATCAAAGGATTTTAACATATTAAAACTTGCAGCCTCTTGAAGAATTTGTCTCCTTCCTCCCTCTCTCCTTGTTGCTGGAGTTTCACACCTGGGAGCTGTTTTAACTCAGTCCTTATGAGAAGTGGGGTATTTCTTTCAAAAAGTTACTTAGCCATACTTACATACACAGCATACATGTATATTCACACATAATTACTTGGAAAAAAATGCTCCCCCTCCTCCTTTCCAGCTTCTAAGGACAGAAAGAAGAAACACCTTCAAATAACTGTAAATAATAAACCCTGTCACGCTAAATACTTCAAAGTGGAAGTGCAAATATCTCAAGAAGCTTGGGGAACTACACATAATTATGAATTAGCTCTCAAAAACTGATACAGGTGATCTGTCAGATAATCTTTCATTCCAAAGAGATTTAGAAATAATATTCCCAGCGATCTGGTAGAGAGAGTTACTGCTAACCAATGATTGCAGCTCTTCATGGAAAGCCTGCCGGAGCAGGAGCGTGCATGCCAAGCTGCTGAGATGAAGATGACTTTTTTGCTTTGTAGACCTTGTAGAAAATCCTTGACCGAAGTCGGACTTAATGGTAGAAGCCTTGGCCACCAGGAAACACAAACTTCCTGTGAGAATCCGCTCCCTGCACAGAAAGTAGCAGCCTTGGGGCTGACGTGAGCTGACCTGCACCACCACCTCCTTCCACTCTAGAACAGCCACTTAACTTTCAAGTCCAGGACGGAGATCCTTCTTTTCCTCCCTCCTTCCCAGCAAAAACCCTTTCAAAAGCGGGCTGCCTGGAGGCAACCTGTGAACTGTGAAGCAGGGGATTCTGAGAGGAGAGTGGGTAGCGAAGTTAGCAGCTAACGTGCCAGAACAGCTACGGAGAGCAGGCAAGGAGTGACCAGCTCATGCCTACAGTAGAAGAAAGAAGAGGTGGTAGGAACAAGGACTGATGTATGTGGAAGAAAAAGACCTGGTTTCTTGTCTATTCCTTTAAAGTGTTAAAAGCCAAAAGGGGTGCTTGCCTAGCTTACAAAAGGCCCGCACCAAGTGAAACGCTGGCATCGGGGCCTGCAGACAGGTAGCCTTCCTACTAGATGAGGGTAAGGACAAGCCACTGACAGGTGGCAACAAGCCCAGTGCCAAAAGTGGCAAAACAGGGAGGTCCAGTGTGCTATGTTCTTCAGTCTTGGTACTCAGTTTTGCACTCATCAAAGCGAGCAAAGCCTTCATTGCAGATTGCAGTTATCTCCAGAGCTGCAGGCTCCAGCCATGGGACTTTGGATAATGACAGCCGGATCCAGCTCTCAGAGTAAGCATAGACACCATGCGTGCTACGTGCAGAGGGAAGCATATGCAGCACTTGGTGTTAGAAACCCAGCAGCCCTCATCTGAAATGTTGCTGGGAGCAAGCCCATTTCATCAGGTCCAATCACATGGACTGTCTGCCCCTTCAAGACAGCCTCGCTTGCCTTACCCTTCCCTTCTTCACCCCAGTGATTACAAATGAAGAGAAAACCAACAGAGAACAGAGCAGAGATGAACCTGGAGAAGAGCTGATGGCATTTTTTGCCAAGCAGTGCACTCACATAGCAGGACACGGGCGCCTACAAGAGAGTGGGCCTAGCACATCTTGATACAAACAATAGCCTTAAGCTACTCGTGTCAAAGTGTCCAAGAGAGTGCAGTGGCTTTGAGGAATCATCTAGCAAGGTCTCACGGGCCCCCGCTACCTTCCTCATTAAACCTTGAACAAAGCTGCGGGGTGTGTTGGTGCACTCCGACTAGTCTTTCCCTGGGGGAGAAGGGAAAAGCTGGAGTCAAAAGACAGTGCAAAGGGCTGGATTCAGTGGTAGGACTTGAAAATGGCAATAAAGGGAAAAAGCAGCAGCTGGAGGAGAAAGGGTACAGGACCCTTTTCTCACCACGTAATACACAAATCTTGGCATACTATGCTTTTAAGATAGTAACAGTCAGGAGTCAGCAACAACAGCTTTCCCCCCTCCAACTGTATATACTATTTTGTCTAAAGGCAGAATACTCAAGTGGCAGGGATAGTTCCCTGGGCAGTTTGGTGCATCAGAAATAGCCACTAGGCTAGTGGGCCATCTGGACAGCAAGAAGTGCCTGGAGTAAACTTTAGAGCCCTCGGAGCATTGGTGGCACAGACAGCCCAAGCGAGACCACGAGCATGCCGAGAAGCAAGAGAGCATGATGGCAGGGTTTGTCCTTGCGACCTACGAGTGGGCTTTTAGTGTTTGCATGAAGAGCAGTCCACCTTCCCATAAAGGGTAAGGAGATGGAGAGAAAAGGCAGAATATGAACCCATGGTCATCTCTCCTTAACTCCTGATGTGGCTGCGCAAAGTTCAAGTGTCTCCTAAGTGCCACTTTAGAGGATACTTGTTCTTCTCAGAAACAAAGTTGAGCTTAAATGAGAGGCGGGTGGAGGGAAACAAGTACTTTTAGCCTTTGCACCAAGGCTTTGTCTATCCCTGTCTGAGATAAGGCCTAAAGAGCTGCTGAAAAACCTTTCTGAAAATGTCTGCTACTCCTTACAAGATAAAATTTTGGGGTTTGGGGTGTGGTGGGTTGTTTTCTTCTTGGGGGGTGAGGTGGCACACAGGGAGGAACTACTGGCGAAGGAGACAACTTGCTGTGGCAGCAATGAAAGCATGCCATCTGCATCATAGGCAGGCCATAAAAACACTTGAATCACCTGTCATAACCGATAAATAGATATATATAAAGTAAGTTATTTTCTCCAACATCTTTCATTTTAAGCATCACATTGGTTTAAAGAAGACAAAGAGGCAGGCCAACATGCAGATGCTCATCTTTGTTCTCCAACCTGCACTTAATTAATTGTGAGTTGCTTTAAAAATTATTTAGGACAATGCTTCCACTGCACATTGCTGAAGTCTGAGAGGGTTCCTGTGTTTTTACTTCCCAGAATGCGTGCAAAGCACTTGCCTCTGCCCAGCTCTTAAAAAAAAAACCAAACCAAACCAAACCAAACCTCAGCCTCCGTGCTGACTGACTGGGGGAATTCAGGCAAATGAGAGGTTGCTTTTTCTCCCTGCCCACCCCTCCTTCAAATAATTCTTTGCTCTGTCACCTAGTTCTGTTTAAAAACCTTAAAATTTAGATGTTCATCGTCAATACGTCACATGGGGCAACGCTGCCAATTACTGTGATGGGCAGATAGCCGGGGCTCGCTCCCAGAGCCACGCCATTAGTCACGGTGATGACAGCTTCAGATGCTGAATTTCTCACGTTAGGAAACAAAGTTACCAATGTTTTATTTTTAATAAAATAATTGCTTTAATGTAGTATTTAAAATAATTTTAAACATCTGATCAATAAGATACAGTACACAAGTATGGAAAATGCTGCACTTTACATAAAAAGTAAAGCTAAGCATTTAATTATACAAAACAATTTTGCCCGATGCCATCAATATCTTGCAAACTATAGCTTAGTCAAAGTACTGCTTTTCTTTTATATATATATATATGCACTATATATACATATATAAATAATTTACAGCATTCATTTACTAGATTTTTTTACTACTGTTCCAACGCAAAAAACCATAACTGATTCAAAACTTCGTGAATTTGGTAACTATCTGAAGTGGTTCTGAAGGTGGAGGGCATTTGAATCATGGCTTCAGGTTTTGAAGTAGCATGCCAAATAACCGTAGGAAGCTTGTTCCTTTAAAGAAAAAAAAAGTTTAAGCAGGAAGCCATTCAGCGCCTTTCCCACCGGTCCTGGGAAACAGCCATGCTATACAGCACTGTGCCATGGAAGGTAAAATGTTTGGAGGCTGGGGAGAAGGGCGGCCAGGTTTTTTCTTGCCACCACGAAGGCAGTCTTTACCAGCAAGCAGAAAAACTTTGAATCTATTCGAGCAGTCATAATAATCCAGAGTCTTCCTCCTCACTGAATGGAAACCAGGCAACTGTCTAAATACTCTCCATCTGGGAAGTTTCCCTGTTATACCACATTAAGGTATCAAATCAACTATCTAAATGAAGCAGCAAACCCTGTGGTTTCCAAACACTGCTTTTCTCCTTAAGAGAGTCTCCAGCTGCAAAGTTGCAACGAACCTCAAGTTTTCCCTTTTTTGCAGTCAGCACAGGTTACTTTTGTTTATTTCTTTTTACATCTATGCTCAAGTTCAATGCTACTTTTTGTATCTACAGAAAGATAAACTGTTTCTTCTGTTTACCCTTCCTTTTTAGGCTCTTCCATTCCTTATATTCAAGTTTAGTAACTCCAAATTTTCCCCAGACATCAAAGTATGCCCTAACTACACTGGCTGATGTACTTCAATTGCACGAACGACCAATTTGTCCACCTTCCCTCGGTCGCTTTCTCAGAGGAAAGGGCAGTTGAAGTGGGGGTGAGAAAGCACCCCTCATCCCTTTTGCTTGCCACTTTGCTCTCCACAAACGAGCATCCAGTAAGTAATTCTAAACCCAGAAAACTTAAGGAGATGCTGCGTGAGATGGGCAATACATTAGCATGTTGACTGACTGCTGGTTCATGATTAAATACAGTTGCCATGCTATGCAGTGCCTTTAAAGTGTTATTTGCTTCCCTAAGTAAGGTTGGATTAGAAGAAGGCACTACACGTAGAACAGATGTTGCAGACTCTGGAGTACCAAAGCAAGCGACGTACATAAACAAGGGACACATATCAAGCCCTCAGAGCCTGCAAGACAATTAAATGCAAGCAGGCAGTCAGGTGCTTGTGTGTGCAGCTCAGTGTTTTCACTGGTTTACAGACTGGTTTAAGCCAAATATTATTAAAAACCCTACAGGTGCTAGGTTAGGTATTTAATAAAAATGTTTATCTGTAAACAAGAGTTATCCTTACAACGGATCATTTTCCAGAAATTGGAATTCAAGACAGTGCAACAATGCTTCAGTGTTTTCTTTGGCAGTAGACAGCAAGTTGAAATGTAAAATTCAAATCACTTCAGAAGAGCATGGTACAAGGTTAGGGAATGCTTCATCTCCCTCTCTTGTTCCATGCAGAATATCAAGTCCCTGAGACAGACACGGGTTATTCTTGGACAGAGCAGCTGTTTCGTAAGGCTAAAACCTGATGATCCAGGAGCGGTTCCATTGCCTTTCAAATCCTAAATGGGGGAGGGAGAGAGGAGAAAAAAACCCAAACATTAGAATTCCATGTAAATACAAGTTTTTAACCAAACTGGTCACATTATACTGCCTACTTGCATAAAACTAGCCTGCTGGTTTTCAGCTTTACATGTTGAAAACCAGCACTCCAGAAGTCCTTGCACATTAAATACTTTAAAAGACAAAGCAAGCACTTGCCAGCTAATGGTTTATTTCAGTCAAAGCAATGAAAAACACTCTTAGAAGAAAAAAATCTTTTTACAAAACTGTATCATTATAGTAAGATAAATAACTGCTGTTTCACTTCAGTCATATTACATAAACACTTGCACTGAGAAAGGACGAACTAGCTACAAAAGAAGGTGCTACCACAGTTCCTGTGCAGAGCCCCAGGTTGCACTCCCACTTGCAAACACCTGAGCTCCAGATGGCCACATCTCTTCTCGAAGAAAACCATCACTGCGAGTGGGCTCTCGCCTTGAAACACAGCCAGAAGAAACTCTTACCCCGGCCATCACCTGTGAAATGTCCTTTAAGGGAGCAAACACACGCGGTTGGAGCATCCGCACGTTCGGAACACTACCCGAGCCTATCCATCTCAGTCGGCTGCCTCACTTGGTTATGAAAGCACAACTGGTAGGAGATGATGTTTGGTAGTTATACATTCAGGCTACTGGAATGAGCAACCCCCACGCATTCCAAAATGCCCCAAGATTTATTATTAGGGGTGGGGAGGAGGAAGATTACGACAAGCTGCACAATAGACTGGCTACTTATCTTGGAGCCAATCTATGCTACACAGCCAGTCTCTTATCACTACTGGAGGGTTCTTGGTAATGAATGCAATTTGTACAAATACGAGTGCTCAGTCTCTGTAACTTCAGCAAGGCGATGCCTGCCAGCATCAACACCGCTTGGAGATGGTGTTGCTTGGATGCCGTGTTAACTATATCAATTCTTACCCTAACACTCTCCTGCAAGACTTCAGGAAAATTACTTTGCCGGCTTTGCTTAGAGAAATCTGGTTAAAACCCCTATATATTAGAAACAAATACCAGTGCTGGACTATCTACAGCAGTGAACGCTACTGTTGTTAGGGGGGAAGCATTGAAATTTATTAAAAAAATAAAGAGATTCACCAGAGAGCACACACTAACCACAGAAAACCCAAGGCATATTGCAGAAATGGAAGCTGTATTTCTTACTAGCAGCATGCAGGGTATTCAGCACCATTTCATTTGCTTTACAGTCGATACTATTAAACACTATGAAATGCCATCATTTGAAACTTTCAGTTTGTTAAATGGCTTGGAACAAATGCGTGCGTGGGGAAGACTGCTGGCCACATCGCACAGAGAGGGCACTGCTGTCCTGGTAAGACACAAAAGGGTCACAGTTCAAGTTTGTCATATGACAACCCTGAAGGATCCAGGGAAAAGATAGCTCTGCAATGCAGCTGCCAGCACGGGTTGAAAAGGAGGTCAATCCTACAGGATGCAGCAGAAGGCCTGAGGCAATGTTATAAATGAAACAAACCCCAAGGGTTTTCAGTAACCCGGCAGCCATGTCCTTTTATAATTCAAAGAACTTTATGGAGGTGAAAGTATTTTCTCTCTAAATAGTCATTAGACTAGAAGTCTTACCTTTAAAAAGACACCAAACAAAGCCACCTCAATCCCGTTCGCTCCCTTACAAAAAAGGAGGCAGACAGCCCAAACCCCCTTTGGAAGCTGTTGGAGCTGCAAGATGCTACAATAGGGCAGAAGCGCCAAGCTGCCTGTGTTTGAGACAGTTATGGATTTATTTATTCTTAAACTCTTACCCACCATACCCAGGGCAGAGACATAAAGTGATGTTATGCTGTAATACCACATCCAAAGCCAAAGCTTATCCTGGACTCTTGTTTGCTAAGACAGCCAGTTCATACTTCTAAGTTTCACGTAGCATCACACCGGCTTGCCAGAGCCCCTGAGGACAGCATCTCAGGGGCCAGGGACTCTTTGGCTAATTACTGAACACAGCTAAACCAGCAGCCACAACCACATCCAAGTTAAAAGAAAAGGCCTGTCTCTCAAAGTGCACAACGGTTTAAATTAAAGAAGCCAACAGACAGCCTAGGTCATGCCAGTCCAGACTGGGACTGCACTGGGGAACTCACTCTGAACTAAGTTTATACAGGGATGAGCGCTAACTCCCTTTAGCCACTGTCTCCTACAGATGCATTGAAGCACTGGTCTTTCGTGGTTTTGTTTTGACTTTGGACCAAGCAGTGGAGGGGGAGGTACTGCCTGCCTTTTTGTAATAAAACATTTAGAGAACCAAAAGTGAAAACACTTGAAGTTAAGATGCCATCTGTGCATCAAAACGAACCATCACAGGTGCCTCTGTTAACATCCAAGATCTTATTTAAGAAGTGCCCAACTCTTAAGCTCTCCAGTTGACAAAAGGGATGCTTTGTGAGCCTCTTCTGAGGGGAAAAGTGCTGCTTTTCCACCAGGCCACACACAAGTATAAAGATAAGTGACTATAAAATCCATCCCTGTAGAACCAATTCTAGCAAAGGGTACCAGCCTGCACCCCCCCTTCTGCAACATCTAATTATTAGTGCCTTAACAAGAAATTTTTCTTTTTTTTTCATTTTCTCTCTTTTTTTTTTTGTTTAATTGGAACACTCCTATTTCCTCCTATTTCAGGGGTGGCTGAAAGACATCAGCCGTATCCTGAAGTTTCTGCCTTTCGCAGAACCCCCACCACCCTGCTTTCCTTCCCTAAGAGAAACAATGCAGAGACATGCAGCCCAGGAGCAGTAACTACCAGCATAAATACTGGGTATCAGCCTGCGTGCCAACAACCTGGGCATCAACAGCTGACAGACCCTGTTTGTAAGCCAGGTCAGGTACTGCAGCAACGTGAACCTGCTTTAGTAGGAGGGTTGGACTAGATGATCTCCCGAGGTCCTTCCAACCCTTGCGATTCTGTGATGCTCTGTACCACGGGAAACCACCCTTCACAGTACCAAGACCTTAAAACCAGCCCCAGGAGGCCACAACAGCTGCAGTCCTGCTTTTGGCTGAACCTCAGAGGCAAGTCAAATCAGCAACTTTGCCAAAGCAACATGCTGTGGCCCTTTCTTGATCCTCCGAGCCTTTTATATACACCTGACAGACATCGGTGACTCTCACTAATCCCAGCAGCAGAAGCCATGGTGGAGCTCCTGCTGTAGTCCCACGCCTGCTGTGCGGATAGGTTTGGTGAGAGGTTGCTCCCGAAACCCGTTTCAAGATCTCTAGAGCTCTCTCCAGTGGCTGGAGCGAGAATTAAATACTAACTCTCTGAAAAGGCAAGAGTGAAGTCAATACAGAGCCACCACTCAGGACAAGGCTCTTCCTTTGCCCAGACTACCATCACCACCTTATTCCTAGTCTTTAAAGTACCTGGAGCATGTGATCTACAAGCCTGGATCACTGGTACTGACAAGGATATCGAAGTTGCTCAGAGCTAGTCTACAGGCCCCCATACAAAGCTCAGAGGGGTCAGCAGACACCTTTCCTTCCCATGAAGCCCAGGTCAGGCTCAGTGAGCTGTCCCTGGCAGAGTACACTCTCCCTTCTCAAACTCAATGGCTTCACACCAATCGTATTCAAAATTTTAACTCTTGCGGGGACGACGACACTTTAAGGGAGGAAAGTGTTCAGTCAAATGTTAAAAAGTCAAGCCAACAGTTCTCATTTCAATTTCTGTTGTGGCATAAACACAACCCAGTCTCAGAGCCAAGATTCCAAGAGAGCAAACCGTCACTGCAGCTCTGCTGCACGTTACAAAAATACCACACCAGCAGAAGGAAGCAAAGTCACGAGACAGCGTTCAATAACATCTCCAAACACTGAATAATTACAGCTGTGTGCAGCAGAGGCATTGTTGGAAGGTGGCAAAAGCATCCAGAGCAAAAACATCCTGGTTCAACCCCCAGCTCTGTCACCTGTGCTCACAGTGAGGTCTGTGGTACCTAGCGTACCCTGTACATTAGTTTCCCAGCCATAAAACACACAACACGTTCCTGTCTCACAGGAAGAAAAAAAGGGTTAAAAAAGCCATTAATGCACTGTGGAGTGCTCAAACACTTTCCTGGGTCTCCCCCAGCAGCAAGGAGGAAGGAAGAGACCCTGTCAGAACTGTGACAGTTTTGCTTGTACAAATAAATGCATAATTTAGGCCAGAGAAAACAAAGTGAAAGAAGTTGATATTACTTTGGTGACAAGCCAGCTTATTCATGCTGCCTATTCTAACAAGCCACAGTCTGCTAGAAGTACTCCCACATTCACAGTACTAAAATACTACATTACTCAATATATATATATATATATATAAAGATGATTTGGGTTGGTTTTTTTTGGATAAAGTTGGTGGCATTGTGTGGTGGGGTTTTTTTGGTGTGTGGGTTTGTTTTGGTTTTTTTTTTTTAACCTTATAGACCATTAGGGTAGATCAAGCCAACGTCTGAAAGGCTTAGATCTCTATTTCCAGGCTGCTTCTCATGCAGCTGCAAACAAACATGTATATTTATAACATTATCTGTCATCTACAAAGAAGCCTCGTGAAGCTGTCAGATCTAGAGAACGCTATTCAACTATGCATTTTTCCTCAGATTTCATTGCAACATTCCTACAAGTCCTTTCAAATGTAGGCAACAACATGTTTTACATATTGAAACAAATTACTGCGAATGTAATGTCAGTTTATTCACTATTATGCCCAAGATTCATGTACGCATGTCACTTCGTATGGCTACATCAGATGCTTAATCTGTACCTGGAGGTAATGAATACTATACAAATATGTCATGTTAGTTAATAGACAATTATTAAGCTGAAATTTTCTGGCTCTTTGCCACATCATTTTAAGCAATGTATTGTCAGCTAAATTATAAATCTCTTGACCCTTCACATGTCATCAACATTTGTGCATTACCAATATGTTCAGCCTAAAGCTACAGTGCAAT